ATATATATATATATATATATATATATATATATATATATATATATATATATATATATATATATATATATATATATATATATATATATATATATATATATATATATATATATATATATATATATATATATATATATATATATATATATATATATATATATATATTTATTTATTTATTTATTTTATTTTTTTTAGGGTTTTTTCAACTTTATTAGATAGGACAGTGGAGGAAAGACAAGAAGCATTGGGAGCAGAGAGAGGGTAAGGATCGGCACAGGACCTCGAACCGGGAATCAAACTCGGGTTGCCGTGAGCACTGGTGCCATATGTCAACGCACTTAACCACTAGGCTGACACATTTTTTTTAAACATAGATAAATCATAATGCAAGCAGTAGAGGGTTAAGAATATATTTGTAATTAATTGAATGCATCCCTTCTGAATCTTAATAATATTATAATAATATCAAATGTTAAATAATAATACTTTTGTAGGTTTTAAATAACCAAAAATCACAAGCACAAAAGTAAACTTTCTAAAAAAGTTACTTTATCAGAAAGACCAAAGGACAAAAAGAAAAGAAAATGGCAATAAACTATGTACTATCATGAAAGAATGTGTGTGTGTGTGTGCGTGTGTGTTCGTGCGTGTACATGTGAAGGTCTGTGTGCGTTTGTGTGTGTATATGTGTGTAGTACATCTAGTGATTTGAAGGCTGTTCACAGATCTCGGAAGGTGAAGGACACAAGGTGAATTTACCTCCAACCATCTGACCAAATATCAGGCCTGCTGTCATCCCTCCTTCCGCTCTCATTCTCTTCTCTGTCCGTCCTGCTGTAGTGAGAGAGATGAAGGAGCAGCCGACAGAGACAGAAGGTGTTAGACTGTTTCAGGAGTGTAATTACCTGCTGTTGTGTGGCCTCCTTTGTCTCTCTTTAGACAAAGGTTTCACAGCACTTGTGGGTTTTGCGCGTGTGCATGTGTGTGTGTAAAGCACTCTTGAGAGTGAGGGGATCAAGAGCTCTCAGCGGTTTCGTTTTTAATTCTTGTTAGCATTTTTTGTCTTTTTTGTTTAACAAAATAATAATATTTTTTTTCAAAACTAATAAATAACTAATAATGCTTGAATACTAACACACAATACATACTAAATTAAACAATATATATGTTTTTAATCATTTTTTATTAAAAAAAGGTAAAATATTGACTTTTTCTCTTGATTTTTTACCATCAAGTAAGCATAAACATTGTAAAAACTGTAACATAAAATGTTGAAAATGCAAAAATATTTATTTTACAATATAGTTGTTTGTTTGTTTGGTCATTTACATGTTTGTTCATTTATTTATTTAGAAGTTGAAGTTATATTTTTTTGCTTAGACATTGTTAAGAAGACATATTTTGTATGCACAATAATAACAATTATGCACAATATTATGCACAAATTTACTTAAAATGTTAAATTAAGCATTGTTTTCAAACTCATGTCCAAAATGGCTAATGCTGACATAATAATAGTAATAATAATAATAATAATAATAATAATAATAATAATAATAATAATAATAATAATAAATAAATAAAAAAAAAATACATCCAGACAATATGAGAATCTTTTTAGTCAAATTTGGACCAACCAATAAAAATACAAATCTAAGTAATGTTTTTAAAGCGGACCTATTATGACCCATTGTACAAGCTGTAAAATAAATCTCTGATGCCCCTAGAGTATGTATGTGAATTTTTTGCTCGAAATAGCCCACAAATAATGTTTATAACTGTTTGAAACTTCGTCTTTTAGACTTTAATCTAAATTTTGCCATTTTGGTAACTGTCGCTTTAAATTCTAATGAGATTATGCTCTTTTCAAAAAAGGGTGGAGCTACAAATGGCTATGTGTCAGTATAGTGGCAGTGGCAGTGCCTAATGCTAATGATGGTGATATTAAATGGGCGGAACTTTACCCTATTACAAAGGGAGAATGTCAATCAAAGTGTTTTCATGATGTTTGGTTATAAAAAATAAAATGAATACATTTTAACCATTAGAAGCCTATAATAGATATAGATAGCAGCTTCTCTTTGAGAGAAAAACTGAGTGAACATAAACCAGCCTGTGGAACTAGTTACTAAATAATACTCATTGATAATAAGTTTACTCTAAATTAAACATTTTTATTACGCAGTGAAAATATTAAAGTAATTTTTTAAAGGTTGCTGTTCCACTCCACTATTTTTTTTAAAATATGTACTGTAACTTGAATAACGACACAGTGACGCAATAGGTAGTTCTGTCGCCTCACAGCAAGAAGGTTGCTGATTCGAGCCTCAGCTGGGTCAGTTGGCGTTTCTGTGTGGAGTTTGCATGTTCTCCCTGCATTCGCGTGGGTTTCCTCCGGGTGCTCCGATTTCCCCCACAGTCCAAAGGCATGCGGTACAGGTGAATTGGGTAGGCTAAATTTTCCGTAGTGTATGAGAGTGAATGAGTGTGTGGATGTTTTCCAGATATGGGATTTTCTTCACTTTCGCCAATTGGTGAAGTTTTTTCCTCGCTAAACTGAACTTAAACTCTGAAAACTGAACTACACTGTTCAAATGATCTTTTACGTGAAGCTGCTTTGACACAATCTACATTGTAGAAGTGCTATACGAATAAGGGTGAATTGAATAGATGGGTTGCGGCTAGAAGGGCATCCGCTGCGTAAAACGTGCTGAATAAGTTGGCGGTTTATTCCGCTGTGGCGACCCTTATTAATAAAGGGATTTAGCCAAAAAGAAAATGAATGAACGAACTTGAATTAAATTTGACAGATTTTTTCAGTGTCATGAAATTCTAAAAATAAGGAGGTAAAAATATTCAACTTGCAACTCATAACCTTGTATTTTTTGTTCCCAAGTCCACTGCTTGTTTTTAATGTTTTGTTTAATGCAAAAATTGGGCATGACAAACCACCTGTAGAACACACACACTCTTTCCTCTCCATATGCACCAGACACTTTCCTACAATCACTCAGCTACAATGACTCGACAATAAAAGAAACTGCTAAACTAACTTCTACTTGTCATGGCATCTAAATATTGCAGTTTTCTGGTGATTTGAAGTGCTACTTTGATCCTCTTGGATCAAAACATCTGTGAAATGAATGACTGTAAATAAATGAATCAACAAGACATGAAAAACTGGAATAATTCCATGTACATCGTGAAGCTTCAATTGAACTGCTTCACTTACTTGTTGATTATTTTGTTTCTCAATGTCTGCCTCTCTCTCTTTTCTTTCCAGTGAATGTGATCCTGAAGGAGAGAAAGAGTAAAGACAGTATTACCCTGGCATGGCAGGGGCCCGACAGACCAAACGGAGTCATAGTGGAATATGAAGTCATCTACTATGAGAAGGTACATCTGCTGGTTTCTCATCTTCATACACACCCACGCATGCTTCTCTGACCTCCATTAAAAGCTGTAATGATTGCAGTTGTCCAGGCAGCCCTGGCATGTGTAATTGAGGGCTGAAGCATCATCATGCCTTTGGAAATGAAAGCAATCAGTGGACCCTATAAGCCACAGTCGACTGCTCACACATTTATACACGCATAGCTCTTTAATTATAACAGGAGAATGATACCAGGGCTGACGTCACCGAGCAGAGAGAATACCGTCACTGAAGCACACAGCTGGGTATACATACTGTAGATTTAAAAGAGACACATGCTGTTTTTATTAAGTAGCGTGATCTGTATAGAAAAGGCAGAAATGGAAGTTTGCGTCAAGTTTATCACATGACCACCAGCCATCTCATATTTTGTTGCCCTTTTCTGTAAATATTGACAAATGCTCCAATTAAACTGTAAAATTCCTGATACTCCAATTGTCAAATATGAGAGAGAACATATATTTTGTCTTTTAAACAGCTAAATAATGATCATATTATATGTGATACGACATGTAATGAGCGTCGCCGCGATCGGAAGCTGATTTCTTAATTAATTTTCTTTTCGGCTTAGTCCCTTTATTGATCTGGGGTCGCCACAGTGGAATGAACCACCAACTTATGCAGCATATGTTTTATGCAGCAGATGACTTTCCAGCTGCAACCCATTACTGGGAAACACCCATACACTTCCATTCACACACATACACTACGTACAACTTAGCTTACCCAATTCACCTGTAGCACATGTCTTTGGACTTGTTGGGAAACTGGAGCACCCGGAGGAAAGGGATTGAAAGTTGACAAGCAGGATTTATATTATTTATTAAATTACGCATTAATTGTATTTTATTAGCGTCTACCCCTACCTCAACCCTACCCTCACGGTAATGTCAAAATATTATTTATTCTACAATGTCACAAAAAGATTCTTATATTGACGAAAGTATCCTCAGCTGTATTGCATCTAGACTTTATCCTCTCCTGCAGCACAGTTTGATCGTAAAGGGTCTATTTTATTTTATTTTATTTTATTTTATTTTATTTTATTTTATTTTATTTTATTTTATTTTATTTTATTTTATTTTATTTTATTTTATTTTATTTATTTTTTTGTTTTGTTTTATTTTATTTTATTTTTTGTTTTATTTTATTATTATTTTTTACTATTTTTTTAAACAAGTAAGCAATTGCTGTGTACTACTGATGAAAAAAATACTAAAACAAACAAACAAAAAAACAATATAAAAGAGTAAATCAAGAAGCTTTTGAATCAATCAATCAAACAATACAACTAAGTGCTTAAAATTGAATAATGAAATACAGATTCGAAAATGGGTTCTTTTTATTTTATTTTTATTTATTTTTTATTTTGTTTATTTTATTTTATTTATTTTTTATTTTTTTTTTTGTTGAAACTGCTTTAAATCTTTATTACATACTTATTTTGCAAGTTTTTTTATTTTATTTTATTTACTTTTTTTTTAATAGTTTATTTGGACAAAAAAACACATCACGACTAAAGGAGAGCATGCATGTTTCAGCTCGTCCTGATTTTGCCAAGTGCTAGTTGTCCTGAGACCAACATATTTTATGATGACCCAGGAACAAAAACTCTATCCTGTCCCTGCGTCATCATAAAATATGTCAGTCTCAAGACAACTAGCACTTGGCAAAATCTGGACGAGCCATGTTCCAAGCCTGTGATGTTTTGTTTTATTTTACTTTATTTTTTTTATTTTATTGATTAAATTACTTAAATACCCAACAGCCTTGTTTTCATTCTCATCAAATTTGAAATATCACTTTTGCAAGGTATATTCTCAACCATTCAAAGCATTCTGGCTGTTTAAAGACAGAAGGTTTATTTACATCAGACCTGCACAGATGCAGTCGTTTGACCCAGTCTAGTCTGGCACACATACTGGTTGCTGTGTGATTATGGGATGTCAGCTCAGACTCAATGCCCAGATGGGTGTCTGGCATTAAAGAATGTGTGGTTCATGCTGGGTTTGTTGGAGCTGGAATGATCCCACGTTCTCAAACACAAACCTGCCTCTACTCTCAGTCTTTCTGGGTGTGGTGGACAGAGACCAATTCCTTCCCAGAACCCATTTGGTCACAGGATGCTCTTTAATATTTGGAAAAGATTTCTTAGCTTTGAAAGGCTGCTTTTGGAAGCAATGCTGGACTGATTCAAAGCTTGATAGCTCATAGCTGATTACTTTCATCTCTTATTTTGTCAATTCTTGGTTTATAAAATCAGTTATTTTTAAATTTTAAATATTCTGAAGTGTTAGGATACTTTACCACTACTTATTTTAGTGGACAAGAGTGCTCATTTAATGTTGCGATTTGTGATAGCTGCTTTTTTAATTATTCGTATTTAAGTCTCTAAGATGGTTCACTTTAGATGTTTGCAATTGAAACATATAAAAGCACCCTTAGTATGCAAGACTTTAAATTCAAGTTGATTCAGATAAAAGTGTCAGCCAAGCCAAGTGTAAACACTGTATATCCCAAATTGTGAAAATTTGTTTCATAAAAAAAAAAAAACTAATGCAGTGAAATCAAGCACTTTACTTATTTTACTTGACAAAAGTGCAATTTTTATTAAGTGTTTTGTAAATCTAAGCACATTTTGATTTTGATGGATGGATATGGATATGGAATTTTTGACTGATACGATAAAATATATGTTTTTTATATGTGATAGCTGATATCGGATGTATTAACTATTCTTTTTTTCCCCATTTTTTCTGAATTATTACACAAACAAACGGCAAACACATACAGTGAGCAACTGGTTTTATTTACGAATCTTAACATTAGGAACGTTTGATTAATTAACAATTTTTTTACGGTCAACTTTCTTTTATATAAGATAAATCAACTGCCTGACAAAAAAATTTTATAAATAAAAAATAAATTAATTAATTAAGCAACCAAGTCACTGATCGTTAACCAAATTCAAAATACCAGTAATATAGTAAAAAAGTGTCAGACATCAAGCATGTGACTTGGTTCACCCAGCGTAGTTCATACATAATTTATCAAGTTAAAGATATTGGCTTATTTTTGTTATCAAAGCGATAACAATAACATTAAATAGCATTTATTGTCCAATATCGATATGGATGGCCACAGAAATATCATGCATTCCTAGCTGCAACACACTACTGTCAAATGTCAAAACCAAATCAAAATGTAATCAGGTGTAACATGTTATAGAATGAGTAAAACTTAAAAATTAGTATACCCAATTCCAAAACTCTTAAACATATATTTTTTCAAAGGAAATTAGATTTTCATAAAGTGAGTTACAGCCATTGAAATCTAAATTAGTTTATGTTTACAGAATTGTGCAATTTATTTGCTCAGTTAAAGCATTTGGAATCCTTTCTTTGTATTTTTTCACTTAAATAAAAGCTTGCGAACAATAACAAATCACACATTCTTTATTTTCTTCTCATTTTACTCCGTTTTTGGAATTTTGTATAATTCACAATCATGAAGTTGGAAGCCATTTTCCAAACTAGCGCTTTCACCCAGCTCTCACCATTTTTGAATACATGAGGCAGTAAGTAAATCTGCCATGTGAAGTGTTAGCTGGCAGTCTGGGTGATTACTATCAAATTAATCAACACATTGTATTCATAGACTTACATTTACACGCCATTGCAGATGTCTGACTCATGTAACTATAATCACACCAATGATCATGTCAAACAGTGTAAATTAAAGCCTTGGCCTGGTCTTTTAGCACCCCAGCATCTGCCTCTCTAAAATGACTGAAAATATGATGCCTGCTGGCTACAGTGTTCGCATGCTGCTGAAATAATATCCTTCATTAATCCTCTTATGTCCTGTTCTGTGCACTCCAAATTCAACACTGCCACCCTGCCGTTTGCTTTAAAAGAGATTCAACAAGTGTATTGCAGATTGAATGTGTAACATCGCTAGCATGACATCACAGTAAGACTTAATAAATAGTAATTTTTTAAATTTTATATTGTTTACAATGATGCGGTGTGAAAGAAAATACTGCAAAAGTCATTTTTAAAATGTCTTTCATTATTATTATTAAAGTACTATTTATTTTTATTTATTTGCAAAGAGTCATTAATTTGGCATAATCATATAGATTAAAACAAATTCTAATAAATTCTAAAAAAGTTTGCATGTTCTCCTTCTGTTGGTGTGGGTTTCCTCTGGGTGCTTCGGTTTTCCCCACATTCCAAAGACATACGCTATACTGTTGGTGAATTGATTAAACTGTGTGTGGGTATTTCTCAGTAATGGGTTGCAGCTGGAAGGGCATACGCTGTGTAAAACATATGCTGGACAAGTTGGCGGTTCATTCCACTGTGGCGACCCCTGATGAATAAATGGACTAAGCCGAAAGAAAATGAATGAATAAATAAATACATGCAGTTTTTTTACATAGTTTCTGTTAATCTATAAGCATAAGCGTATGCTCATAAGCATATATCATGGTTTTACAAAAGTTTCAAATATCATGACTCTTTTCGACTTTTATGCTGATAATATAAATGTTTCTTGATCTAAATGAGCATATTATAATTATTTCTGAAGAACTGTAACATTGAAGACTAGAGTAATGATGTTGAAAATTTTACATGTATTGAAATATTAATAAATTGAAGTAATGTTTATCCCAGTGTAATATTATTTTACAATATTAAAATTCATACCAGGACAATAATATTTATACAATAATTCACAAAAAAAATAACATTATGTAATATGAAATGAATAAATAGTCCACAATGAAATTACTTTTTTTCTAACTTACTAACTTACTAACTAACTGACTGACTGACTAAACAAACAAGCAAATAAACAAACAAACAACATACATATATACATACATACATACACACATACATACATACATACATACATACATACATACATACATACATACATACATAATATGACTCAATATGAGTTGGATATATTATACACACAAAAACATGAACTTACCTTCTAGTATAGTGGTCTTTATTGGTAGTCATATTTGGATGTTTTAGCTAACTATGTTATTTTAGCCATTTTCATACATTTATATGAATTGGGAACATTATGAGAAAATTGTCATCCGCACGCCAAATTTTTAAAAATTGCAAAGTAACATCTTACCACTTCAACATAATCAATAAACAACCTAAATTTAAATAAAATCACATATAAAGTGTTTTTTTTGTTTGTTTGTTTGTTTTTTTTCCATTACAGAACCAAAGAGACCAGAACTATACAGTTCTGAAGACCAAAGGGCACATGATGACTGTGGAGGGCCTGAAACCAGGAACCACATACGTGTTCAGAGTGAGGGCTCGCACTGATGGAGGATACGGCAACTATGGTGGAGAGATCGAGCTGGAGACGAGTCATGAGGGTGAGGTTTTTCTGCTCTTCTCAACAGTTCCCTTTTTCTCTCTCTATGGAGGGTTCTTCAGCAGTATAACACAAATCTAACAGCATTACTGCTCCATCACTGAGAGGTAGTGATGACTTTGTAAAAGGTGCCATAAAATGAAAATCTGGAAATACCTAAGCATAGCTCAGTAATCAGAGGTAATGTATGGATATGATATACCATGAGACTCAAACATAATTGTTTTTCTTTATTTTCATGTCAATCCTGTGAGAGTGAAATCTCAGTGAAAATTAGGCCAATTGGAACATGTGACCATTCACAAGGAATCATTATTATATATGCCTCGGGCATCATTTGATTTGGCCACAAAGTTACCTAGTGAGATTACAGCAATTTTTTCCCTTAATGTTTAAGTTTATTTAAGCTTGTATTATACATACTGTGTTTGTGGGGCTCTTATTTTAAAAACTTGATGGACTGAATGGAAAAAAGAAACTTGGTTACTCTGGTGGCATAAAGATCCCTCACTCACTTACTGCTAGCTGAAATAAACCTCTTTACTACTTATAAAGATTGTTTATAAAGCTTTCAATAATACAATACGATCAAAGTTTTTTATAGTATTATCCTTCAGTCTGACAGTTCAGTGTATTGAATATACAGTAAAGCTAAAAATTATTGACACATCAGTTGTAATTTTTGTTGTTTGTTTTTACTATTGGATGCCGAAAACTTTTATAGCACTTCACTTTTTTCACATTTTTTATGTTACAGCCTCATTCCAAAATGGATTAAGTTCATTTATTTCCTCAAAATTTTACACATGATACCCCATAATGACAATGTGAAAAAAAAAAAATTAATTGTTGCAAATTCATTAAAACAGCCCTTCCTCAGACTGGAGTGATGGGTTATCTTCCAGCAGGGCAATAACCCAAAGCACACCGCCCAAATATCAATGGAGTGGCTTTACAACAACTCGATGAATGTCCTTGAGTGGCTAAGCCAGAACCCAGATCTAAATCCTATTGAACATCTCTGGAGAGATCTGAAAATGGCTGAACACCATCGTTTCCCATCCAACCTGATAGAGCTTGAGAGGTACTGCAAAGAGGAACTGGCAAAAATTCCCAAAGACAGGTGTGCCAAGCTTGTGGCATCATTTTCAATCAATCAATCAATCAATCAATCAATCAATCAATCAATCAATCAATCAATCAATCAATCAATCAATCAATCAATCAATCAATCAATCAATCAATCAATCAATCAATCAATCAATAATAAAATAAAATAAAATAAAATAAAATTAAATTAAAATAAAATAAAATAAAATAAATAAATAAAAATAAATTAATAAAAAAAAACTTGAGGCTGTATTTGCTGCCAAAGGTGCATCAACAAAATATTGAGCAAAGGTTGTGAATATTTAAAAAAAAAAAATTTATATATTTTTCACATTGTCATTATGGGGTATTGTGTGTAGGATTTTGAGGCAATAAATGAATTTAATCCATTTTGGAATAAGGCTGTAACATTAAAAAATGTGGAAAAAGGGAAACGCTATGAATGCACTGTATATATTTGGGGCTAATAACATTGACCTTAAACTTGTTTTTATTTATTTATTTATTTATTTATTTATTTATTTATTTATTTATTTATTCATTCATTCATTCATTTATTCTATCAATTATTAATTAATGTATTTATTAATTAATTTATTTATTAAACAGCTTTTATTCCAGCCAAAATAAATAAGATTTTCTCCAGAAGAAAAACATATATTACTGGAAATACTGTACTGTAAATATTAGAAATAATAAACATTACTTGGAAAATATTTGAAAAAGAGTTAAAATTTCACAGTATGGAAAGTAAGTTGTGTGTGAAAAAA